TCACTATAAAAAAAAACGCTTCGATGCAAATCTTTAGATAGTGTATAATTTTAAAAAATTTGTGGATTATTCCAAAAGCTTCATAAACTGCTAGTTCCTTATTAATATCCTGATTAAGATAAAGTATGTCGAATGAAAAAGGGATTATTAAAAAATAGTATTTCCCATAAAAAAATTATATTGATCAATACACTTTTCAATAAGTTATAGCATTATAATGTTAAAAATGTAAAAAATAAAATTGAGAATTTTCACACAATAATAGCATTTGGTAGCCATTTTCACCTTGAAGATAAAATAAAGTCCGAAATTTTTTTTTTCCATGATAAAGTATATTACATTAGCTTTAATTTAAGATATATATAAAAGTGTCAGACTTTCCGGAACACTTTCAAAATTTAAGTTGAAAAAGTCAATTTTTTGTGAAAAAGTTGTCATTTTGAATCCCCCCCTGTAGGCAGGTAAAAAGTCAGATTTATAAAAAAAATATACCAAATGATAGGTAAAGACATCATGCATCTACAAAAAAAAGAATTATATTGATCCATACATCTTTCAAAAAGTTATAGCATTATAAAGTTAAAAATATAAAAAAGAATTTTTTTACAAAAATCGTATTTTTTTTATTAAGTTTAATGTCTGTTTTCACCATGAAGATAAAATAAAGTCCGAAATTTTTTTTTACCATAATAAAGTATATTACATTAGCTTTAATTTAAGATATATATAAAAGTGTCAGACCTTCCGGAACATTTTCAAAAGTTAAGTTGAAAAAGTTCTACTTTCTATATGCATTTTTATGTTTTGAATCCCCCCTGTATTAAGGGAAATGGTCCGATTTAAAAAAAAAGTATGTCGAATGAAAGATCTATATAAATACTACTTCTCTTAAAAAAATTGTAATGATCCATACATTTTTCAAAAAGTTAAAGCATAATAAAGTTAAAAATGTAAAATACAAAATCGAAAATTTTCACACAAAAATAGCATTCGGTAGCCATTTTCATACTGAAGATAAAATAAAGTCCAAAATTTTTTTTTTCATGATAAAGTATATTACATTAGCTTTAATTTAAGATATATATAAAAGTGTCAGACTTTTCGGAACACTTTCAAAAGTTAAGTTGAAAAAGTTAATTTTTTGTAAAAAAGTTGTCATTTTAAATCTCCCCCTGTGGGCAGGTAAAAAGTCAGATTTATAAAAAAAATATACCAAATGATAGGTAATGACATCATGCATCTATAAAAAAAAGAATTATATTGATNCATCATGCATCTATAAAATAAAGAATTATATTAATATGTTTATTTTTAAAAAAGTTACGGCAGTTTTTATTAAAAAAAATTGAAAAAATTTCGAAAATTAGCCATTTTTAAATTTGTAATTTTTTTGGAGGTTTCCCCCATTTACGGGGAACGAGGGAAATTTTTTCAATTTTGAAGAGTAATGTCTTCGACTAGATACGATTTGTGATCTTTTGACGTATCGTTGAAAGAAATCCGTTCGGTGAGAGCTGAGAAAAAGTGGTAACAGACACAAAAAAAAAAANGCTGAGAAAAAGTGATAACAGACACAAAAAAAAAACACATCTTAATAAAACCAATACCTTCTCAGCTTCGCATCGAAGCTAAAATTCCTGACTACAAATTAATCTTAACAATATTATTTTTTTAATTTTCATAAATTTTTCCTAATGTCAATTTCAAACTTGCCAGTTGAGCTAAAAGTTATGGTAATAAATAAATTTTTTTTTACTATAAACTTTCATAAAAATGTTTAAACAATTTGCATTGATTATTTTTAACATATTATATATAAATATTATAAATCATATTATAAATCAAAATCAGTAATAATTTGAAAACAATTTTTTTTTTTTGTTTTCAATTATTTTTTTATGTGTAAATACTCATTTTTTAATAATTAGTAATAATATAATAACTTAGAAGTGATGGAAAATGTCTTATTTCAGATATGAAAAGCATTGCGGAAAGTGAATTTAGAAAAGTATATTTTTGATTTTATGAAAGTTTCTTATATATTAATGTATTAATTAATAAGTTAAAAAAATCATTTTTCTTAAGTATTGCATTAAGTCCTTTAATTTTTATATATGATTGTCATAGAAGTAACAAAATATACAACTTTATAATTTTTTACAATTTCATACTATATTTAATTGTTATAATATTTATTCATACATTATACTTTTGAATTTAAGAACTACTAATCAGTATATCATTAAGGAAATAGGTGTTGATGTTACTTTTGTAATTATGCACCAATTTCTTAGAATTAAACACTATCTACAGATTTACATCGAAGTGTTCCTTATGATAGTGGTTTTAATCACTGTCAGATATCGCCTATACTTGTCCATACTGTGCCTCAACCCTATTATACTACAGTTTTTTCGTTTTTTTTTTTTTATCACGATGGTCACAGTATAGCCTGTGTGTATTTATTTTATTTTAAAACAGTTAAGTTTTAATACTGTGCGATTCATCAAAATATATTTTCTTGTAATTTAACATTGAATTAATTTACATAACAAATGTTATTAACCGTGGTCAAAGTAAACTAGGCTATTTAATTAAATAATATAATACATATATGTATTTTTAATGGCGTTTAAAGTAAAATATAATATGATAATATATACTAATGTATATTATACGTCAGTGTATAATTATTGCGTTTTTTCGCAGATTGTAAATTGGGACATATATTAGGGATTTACTTTGATATGAACGTTTTATTATTAGTGTCTCTACATAATAGATATATTTCCGAATTATTAAATTATTGAAAAATACATATTATTGAACTTCATTAAAATATATTTTATTTGGAAAAAAAATTTATAATTGTAAATACCTTATAATTTATAAGAAATACATTAAATATCTCATATATTGTATTTAAAACTATAATAATTTATAATATTTAAATATCTTAACAGTTTGTAAAGAAAGTTTCGTTTTATTAACTATTTATGAATAATAGATTACCACTTTCAATCTGTTTAAATTAAGATTATTTTTTCTCTTAAATGTTTTATTATTGTAATCATGTAAATATATATCTTTTATTTATAAATACATTAACAAAATCTGAAATATAACTGCTAATGTTTCAAACCCTAAAACGACTTCGAAACTAACGACATGGATGTATCTGTAAATATTTTAATTAATAGAATAATCCATGAAAGCTATAATAATAATAAGAATTTTTAATCATAAAATCATGTATTCAAAACATAAATTTTTAAAACTAGGTACAAAATTACTGAGACCGACATGTTGGGTTGAGGTGACTCGCCTTTCCACCTCCCACTACAGCATTGTCATTGATTGAAGAATAGCTAAAATTTAGAGTTGTTACTCATCATACATACACAAAAGATTTTGTTCACTATATCTGTGAATTGAGTTATTTGACCAATAAGTCGAAGACAAATTGAATTTAAGAAAATTATCGATTTATGAAATCTAAATTTTTGGTTCAAATATGTAAATGATTGAACCTAATTCGTTTTTTTCGGCCTTGAGGTTTAGTATGTTTTTGAAAAAAATAGAGTTAATAGAATAAATTTTAATTATTAACCAACAAATCTGAATTTATATAAGTAAAAATTATATGAATTAAAAAGTACTGCAGATCAAATTTTCTATATAAAAGTATTTATGCATCTTAGTAGTCGATTTTAGTAGTTGATTCATTAGATTGCGACATAATAAGACGCAAATAATTAAAAATATTAAAAAAAACATGTCGCGGGGTAGCGACGGTTTTGGAAGACTTTATGTTCATAAAATATATTTCAATACATCAAGTTAATTATGATACCATTATTTATTCAATTACATGGTTTGTTTTTGGTAAATATTTTTCTTATAAAATTATAAACATTAAAAAAATGTAAAAAATATTTTACATTTATTTAAAGAGATATAGTTTTATACAAAATTGTCTATTTAATTAAGGGATTAATTTTGTCATATTTGATGTATCAAGCATTCTCTACGACTACCCAGTTTTTTAAATAGTTGCTCTTACGAGACATGTTTTGATGCGTAAAATAAAGTACTTGAACACTCACTTAAATAAATTGTGCTATTAAATTATAAATATTAGTTATTGTTAATAAAAAGTATAAAATTGATTCATTATATGTTATATAATAGGATATACAGTAAGTCAAGTAAAAATTAGGACATCCTTTAAAAAATTAATTTGTCTCTCGAATCGGCATCGTCTTATAAACATTTTAGTATAATTATAATATTAGGAAAATGTTTGATTATATAATATTTAAAAGTCTGTAGGAGGACGAGAATTTAATAGTAAAATTTTTATTTCTGATATTGTCCGAGTATTTATTTGACTGGCTGTAATACATTCAAGGACGGGTAAAAGACAAATTTTTAAGTAAATTTTTTTTTTTTTACTAAGGGTATTACAACTTATAATAAGATCTAATATGATAAATTACATTTATGTTATTGATTTCTTATAATAGAAGTATATGCTTCTCATGAAAATCTTGGATATTTCACTTTATTAATAATGAATAAATAACAATATTTTCAAATTAAGTTTGGAATCATATTCAGAGCCGTCGTTATTTTTTTTATAATTACAGGATCCAAATCCAATCAATGATCTGTTGATTAACATTTTGAGGTGAAAACATCTTATGCGGTTTCTAGATATTTCCGATAAGAGAGCGAACATTTTCGAGCGTTTCGATCGTGGTCGAAGTGATTAAAAAATGATTTTCTATAAATTCTTTACTAAAATTTAAAATTTACAGTAAAATTTTATATTTTACGGCGTAGCAATAGACAACACATATCTCTCGCTTGAAGGTTGTTAGGTTTATGTAGTGTCGCGGTATATGGAGGTAAAATGTACTTCAAACTGGACAGCTGTGTGGTACCTTCACAGTTCAACCATGGTTAAAGCGCTGAGCGTTTGCCAATTGCTTCTACAACGCCGCCCATATCCTGTCTAGCCTATATCCTGGCCACACCAATGTTTTAGTTTACTTGTTACATTTATGATTTTTTAGTTTCATTTAAAGTTTATACATAAATAAATTATATCATTCGTTAGTGTTGATTAGTAGTTTATGTTGTTAGTATTTTGTGTTAATATTTCTTATAATAATTGTTTAAGTTCATTCAGTTGCTTTTGCCATTGAAACGATCTGTTCTATAAATTGGTGTGTTATCGCAGTGTCGTCATTTTAGTGTCGGTGTAATTTACTAACAAGTTTGATTTTTCAACAGGAATAACGTTTTCAGTTTAAGTTTTTTATTCAATTAAAGAAAAATGCGTGAGTATAAATTGGTTGTTTTGGGCAGCGGTGGTGTGGGAAAGTCGGCTCTTACTGTCCAATTTGTCCAGGGTGAGTAAAAAATTTCTGTTGCCTACTTGTATTATCTAGAGTTTTAATCGCATAACGATAATAAAATAATAAAACTGATAAAATTATATTATGGAATTTTTATATTATAATGTAGTTGGTTGTTTCTGACATTTTTTAATGATCAATTTATATTGCTATTAAAGATAACATGTAATCAATATCATAACTTAGTAAATATTCATTTACACACATATCTAGACAATATATGCATATAATTAGATTCTATAAAATGCATAATTGAAAATCCAGATTAATTTGTAATTGAAGAAATCAAATAGATCTATAATTTCATGTTTTTAAAATATTTGTATTATGAGAAAGATATAAGATATCCAATAAATATAAATGGGATTATAAATAATTTCTACTAATTAAATTTCCCTTTTAAATTTATTTAAAATATTTTTTTTTGAATTATGATCGAAATTAAAATAAAACTTAAAATAACTTTATGTGTTAAAATGATCTTAAAAAATTAATTTATTATTATTAAAAATATTTTACATAATGATTTCTGATGCTATACATTTTCATTGCTCTATATTCTTTTAAACCTTAAACATTAATCATTTTGATGATATTTCTTTATGCTGATTTTAGTTAAAATAAACAAATTATACTTAGTTCAAATTTTTTTATCTTTTTGTGATTTCCATAATTATAGAGAAATTTGTTTACTTAAATTAAAAGTATAATATAATATATTTAATATGTATTTTAGGCATCTTTGTTGAAAAATATGATCCAACAATTGAAGACTCATACAGAAAACAAGTAGAAGTTGATAGCGCACAATGTATGTTGGAAATTTTGGATACTGCTGGCACGGTAATTGAAGTTATCATATTAGTTTTCAAATTGATTTGGTCAATTTTGTCTTTCATTATGTAAATTGATATCAAATTGGTTTTTTTTTTTTTAGGAACAATTTACTGCTATGCGTGATCTGTATATGAAAAATGGGCAAGGATTTGTACTTGTATATTCTATTACTGCACAATCAACTTTTAATGATTTACAAGATTTACGTGAACAAATTCTTAGAGTCAAGGTATTGATCTGATCCAATATTTAAATAAAAAAAAATGTTGTAATTAATAAATAACTGCTATCAAGAAATTTATCTCACTTAGAAGCTAAATTAAATTATAATAATTCATTAAATATTAATAGTTTTTATTTTTATTAACTGATTAGGATGCTGATGATGTTCCTATGGTATTAGTTGGAAATAAATGTGATTTGGAAGATGAAAGAGTTGTTGGACGAGAACAAGGCCAACAATTAGCGCGTACATTTGGTTGTGCTTTCATGGAAACATCCGCAAAGCAACGTGTTAATGTTAACGATGTAAGTTCTCATTAAGAAACATATTACTATCCTATTTTCCAATTAATATTTTAATTGTTCAAATTTTAACATCAAATTAAATAGGGATTTTTATATCGCATATTTGTGTATTTTCTAGTGATGGATATTTTAAACTATCGAATAGTATTTTAAAACTATCGAATAACTATTCGAATAGTTTTTATACAACCGAATAGTTTATTTTTAGCATGAACTATTCGAATGGGCTACTGAATGTTTTTAAAAAATATTCTATTAGTTCTACCTAAAATTTTTTATTAAGTATACTTAATTATAATAAGAAGATAATTAACGAATACTTATAAATAAATTATTATTCAATTAATAATAGTAAAAATTAATGATTGGCATTTTCAAATATTTTAAACTATCGTATAACTATTTAAAGTGTGTTTATACAACCGAATAGTTTATTTTTAGCATAAACTATCGAATAGTTTAAAAACTATTCGAATATATTGTGTAACTATCGAATATTTTTACTATTCGAATATTTTTTGAATGACTATCGAATACTTCGAATAGTCGACAACTATCGAATAGTTTGATAGTTTCTATTCGATATTTCCCATCACTAGTATTTTCATCTTTTTATTACTCAACATAATAAATTTATAAACGTAAATTTAAACTTTGTCTCATTCTTTATTAATCTAGAAGAAAACTGAAATTTCAATTTATAATCGGTTCTGTATCTACAATTTGTTAAACTAAGTTTTTAATTTTTTTCTTATTTTAATTATTATAAAAACTTTTATTCATTTTTAAATTTGTTATAACTAATTTTTTTAATAAAATTTAATATTATGGATGTCAAGTGGTATTACCACATAGTATCAATTTTATAATTTTCAATCAATATTTATTTCCAGTAAAATTTTTAATTGTCTTCATTGCTATAATATATGTATATATATTCAAAACATTCATAGTAAATGTTTTGAATATAATAAGTTTATTTTGGCCTGGAATTATGAATCTACTAATGCCTGTCTTACTCTTTTAAGTACTCCTGTAGTTTTGGAAAAAATTTTCGAGTATTGAAAAGTTAGGAAATTATGAGTATAGGAGTATAATTTATCACTATTTTATTTTAACATGGGTGGTCATAGAAAGTGTACTGGAAATTGTATGAAAAATTACCAAGTATAGGATTAGAATCATTGACTCATGGCGCCATAGAGACAAACCTCACCAATAGGCTATCGTGCACTTATGATTTAGATCTCTATACACTTTCATATAGGTTTATAATGTGATGTGTGGTTGAGGGTAACACGGTACTGTGTAAATTCTTATTAATTAAAAAAAAGTTCAAAGTAGATTTCTGCATTTTTTTTTTTTTTCATTATTACCTAGTTTTATATCTATCAACTAATATTTGATTTATATTTATTGATTATTTTTTAGATATTCTATGACTTAGTACGACAGATTAATCGTAGATCGCCAGACAAAGGTTCTAAAGGAAAATCAAAGAAAAAGAGATCACTTTGTACTATATTGTAAGCTAGATAATTGATCAGGATCAAAATAAATAGGACAAGAATGAAAGTTATTAGGAAGACCAAACAAGAATCTGGTAACATTATGATGACCTCCTGAAAAAGGATTTATTTAATATTGTATACATTTAATTATATTTTGTAAATAACTATTTATAATATTGTTTTATCTTTTTATTTAATGTTTCTTATTTAATTTATTACATATACTATGTTCTTATTAGATACCAAGCACATTTAATTATTATCCAAACAACTTATTGTAAATAATTTATTATGTCTTATTATTAATATAATTATTTAAAATTGTAATTATTTTGTTTAGTATTGAACAGAGCGTTTAAGAATTATAATTGGGTATTAGCTTGGTGTTTGCACAACTGTTATCTGTTGATTGAATTAATGATACGTAAACTAAGTTTTTTGACAAAACTTGTATATTCAAAGTATAATTTTTTTGTTGTTTTCGGTAATTCTCAATATTTAAAGCTACCAATTATAACATATTTTAAATATTTTAATTGCTATTGTTTTTTCTTTTAAATGTTGGATTTTTTAAATCTTCAAATGGGATTTTAAATTCAATCGTATAAATTACAAAATTTGTTAAACATTATAATAATATTTTATATTTTTTTTTTTTTTTTTAGTGTGATA